AAAGAATACAAGTTAAAGTTTATAATTTATTATAGGACTATTCTGAATTAAACTTTTCACATGCCTATAAAAATAACTCTCCCATTGATTTACAAACCACACCAACCTTTTCTGAATCTACCTTTGATCACTTTGATACTTCCTATCTGGAACTCTATATTGAATAATCTACTTTGCTTGAGTTATCTGATTCTAGTAAAAGTGATAGCGATAATAATATTAATAGTTATGATAGTCATAGATATTTATTTAATTTATATGTTAATGATAGTTTTGATATGTTTGAAGAAGCTAGAAAAAAACTTGATAGATATGCAATAGAACATAGGTTTGCTATTAGAAAGGGATATATGCATATGCGTGAAGATTGAACAATATAGAATACTACCTGAGTATGTCATTTATCTGAACAATAGAAACCTAAAAAAATAATTGACTCTGATAATCAATTTACTGTAATACAAATGTTACAAATTGCAAATAGCATTATAATTTTTTCAATAGGTAATAAAGCAACAACAATACGTTGTTCTTTACTAAATGACAATTCTATTTACAACTATCCTATGGATGATAATATTAAAAGTAATATTCCAAAATATTACAGGTTAAGTAATGAAATGCTCAATAAAGTTGAGTTGTATTATCAATATCATATTCAACCTAGTAAGATAATTAACTTACTCGAAAATAAATATCCCGATTACTCTATTAAACTACAAAATATCTATAATGTAATAAGCCAATTAAGAGGTACATATAAAAGGCTTAAAAATGATGCTGCTGATTTACTTAGTCATCTCTTACAACAAAAAAATAGACCCTGGTTGTGTGGTTAAACCTGTAATTGGAGACATAGATAGTGAACTTAAAGGAATTTTTTGGCAGTCAGATAAACAAGTACAGTTATTAACAAGGTTTGGTGATGTTTGTTTATTGGATACAACTTGCAAGACTAATCAATATCACCGACTATTAGCTCTGGTGATTGTAGTTGATAATAACACTAGAAGTAGATTAGTTGCTCAGACACTATTGCCAGATGAATCTATGGACTCTTTTAATTGGCTTTTTACATATCTTAAAAAAAGAAATCCAAAATATGAGTCTGGTATTATTTTTTCAGATTCTGATCTTGTAATAACTGCAGTGATTGCTAAGATATTTACAACAACTTATTACTATCTTTGTATATTTCAAATTAATAATAATATAAAAAAAAAGGCATGGTCAAAACTTAGTGAACAATATAATCAGTTTATGAATAAATTTTATACTGCATAAAATTTATTATAAGAAGCTGTATTTGAATACCGATATGAATATTTAATTAAAACTTACCTAGCTATAGAAAGTTATTTATATAAACTTTACCAATCAAAGCAAAGTTGGGCCTATTGTTTTACAACACAAGTCTTTAATGCTGAAATTCAGAGTACACAACTTATAGAATACTACAATAATCTTATTAAGTCTAGTGTTAACCAAACATCGTCTTTGATTAAATTAAATAATGCAATTCAGAAGCGTCTTGATTCAGAAAATAAGTATAGTCGTTCTCAAGAGACTATAAACTTTGATCATAATAGCAACTTACAATTAATAAGTAGAACATTATTTCCTGAAATTATTGTTATATATGAAAAATACCTTACTCCTCATATAATTGCTGAAATAAAGCAACAAATTCAATAAGCACTTTGGTATAGGTGTTATTCATATAATATTTTACAAGAACATTATGACAATGAACCTGAACTTACTGATAAATGTATTGAAGACAATTATAATTCACAACAAATACATATTAACTCTATGCTAAACAATATGTTAGATGATAAAATTCAAGAAGCTTAGTGTGTAGTTAGACTTACAGGTTCTGCAAATATACACTATATTATTATATTTAAAGATAGTTCATTTTTATGTACATGTACTTGGCCAGTTAGTCATAAAATTGTATGCTAGCATTACTTTGCTGTTCTTTTAGAATCAAATGTAGCTATATTTTATATCTTATTTATAATGCAATGATAGTATAAAGATGCATATTTTAATGAACCAGAAGACACTTTCAATAATATTTTATCAATTCGACTACATAATAATAATCCTAATAGACCTGTTATACCAATTCAATCTAATCAAAATATGTTATTCAACCAATTTGATCAACTTATCTCTATATGTAAAACTTCTGGATCCAAAAAATCTAATAAAAAATTCCTACAAGATCAAATATGTTATAGTAAAAGTTATAAATTGTTGCAAACCATTCTAATATTAGTGATGGAGATAAAAACTAATGAGGAAGTAAATGATTGGTGTCATCAATTTATTCAGCAAAAGAAAGAGCTTCTAAAAGCTAATACTGTGTCAAGTCAAGATTAAGAAAATATTATTCAAGTAATTAATCCAAAAGTCATGCCAGTTAAGGGCTAACAAAATAGAAGACAGAAGAGTGTACTTGAACGAGAAGCTAAAAATCCATTAAGTACTAATTACGAAAATGTCAATTAATATACTTGCTCAAATTGTCATACTAAAGGACATAATATTTGTTTATATAATTTGCCAAGGTATAGTTAAAGGTTCAGGTTAAATATAGTTAAAGGTTTGGGTTAAATATAGTTAAAGGTTTGGGTTAAATTAGTTGACAATATATTATTACT